TCTAACCCTCTCGAAATGAATGCTGACATTGCAATTGCCTTCCTAACTGCCAACTGAACCTGAATGTCAACCTTAAGAGAATCCTGAACTAAGACTCCCAAGTCCCTTCTGTTCTTCAGATTTCCAAAGCCTTTTCCCATTTAGAAATTAGCCAATGCCTCTATTCTTCCAATAAAGTGCAAAATCTCACACTTTCCTACATTGTATTCATCTGCCACTTCTTTGCCCACTCTCCTATCTGCTGACGGACAAAAACCCACAAACTGGTTAAAACCATTCATGCTGTACCTCCTTGTCTCACAGTGGTTAGCACTGCTGGCTCACAGCGCCAGGGACCTGGGTTCAATTCCAGCCTTGGGTGACTGTCTGTGTGGAGTTTGCACATTCTCCTTGTGTCTGTTTGCTTTTCCTCCGGGTGCTCCAGTTTCCTCCCACAGTCCAAAGATGTGCAGGATGGGTTGATTGGCCATGCTAAATTACCCGTAGTGTCCAGGGACATTCAGGCTGGGTGGATTAATCATGGGAAATACAGGGTTACAGGGATAATGTAAGAGACTGGGTCTAGGTGGGATGCTCTTCGGAGGGTCAGTTTAGACTTGATGGGCCAAATGGCCTGCTTCCACACAGTAGGAATTTTATGATTCTCTGATGATTCTAATGATTTGTGCAACTTACCTAGAACTTATCTTCTATCTCAGTGTTCCAGAGCTCTCAGTCGACAAGAAATGGACAACACAGAAAGTCAGTAACTAGTTCCTGTAACAAATGCTGTCTGTGGAATGGTTGGCTGTGAGCTACCTTGGCAAGCGTGGTCCTTGCCAAACAGTTTCAGGACAATTTAGGTCACCTGTGCCTTGGCATCTCAGTACAAAAACCATTGTGCACTTATAGAAATACTGTACATTACTGAGGAGTGTCTCCTTGACAGACTAAGAACTAGTGGAATCATCGCTGTAAACTCAGCAAACAAGGAATTGATCATTTCCTTTCACCAAGTAAAATGAACAGAGTTCAACACAAGTGGCCCAATCTCTGACTAATCTCACTTGAATGAAGCGATCAGGTAGCCAAGCCAGATGGTGCAGGAGGTTTCCCTCATGTACAGGCGAACAGAGACCATGAATCTCTGTTCAACGCGACGGAGGCAAGGGAAAACTGAAGAAGACAACTGAGAGCTGGAG